TGCAAACCGGAGCTGTCCTCTTCCCACCTTGCCTCCTGCCCCTAGCGAGCCAGCACACCACTAGCTCTCGGACACTTGAGATTCTTCCTCCTTTTGACATAGTTTTACACATCTTCAGGCAGTGATCACGTCCCCAAATGCCTCACTGAGAGATGAGGACAAATTCATTAAAGGTAGTAGGGATGTTCTAAAACTAAGAGTAGTAGAGGCATAGAAACAGGGAAAATGACTTGAAATGACTTGGACTTCCACTGAGTAGCTGTTCCAATTATTGCTATCACTACCATTAAGGGGTGTATTAATATCAGCAATGGCACACTGACTTCCACCTGGACATCAATGTGTTTATGTTTACTGAGCATTTCCCTGTATGTTATCTCATATATTCTTCACGAGAATCTTCTAAAGGTGCCAGGGCCAGGAATCGTTTTATCCCCAGACACACATTTATAAACCCCAACATCTGGTTTCTGGAGAAGGCAACACTAGGACTCGTGTTTCATGATTCCCAGTACTGGTCTCTTCTCACTCTGCCACACTAGCTCTTAAAAATAAATGTGCATGTGATGTTTAAAAATGTTTTAACTTGCCGAAACCGGTTTGGCTCAGTGGTAGAGCGTCGGTCTGCGGACTGAAAGGTCCCAGGTTCGATTCCGGTCAAGGGCATGTACCTGGGTTGTGGGCACATCCCCAGTAGGGGGTGTGCAGGAGGCAGCTGGTCGATGTTTCTCTCTCATTGACATTTCTAGCTCTCTATATCTCTCCCTTCCTCTCTGTGAAAAATCAATAAAATATATATATTTTTTAAATAATAAAAATGTTTTAACTTTACGTTGCGATGGCTCCATTCTCAAGAGTCTTCCAAGTTAAGTTTAATTTTAGTTCATTGTAAATGTAAGTATTTTAAAAGCAGGCTTTAGTCCCACCCATAGAACTTTCAAAAGAAGAGATTTCATAGTGGGAGAAAATGATGGTAGAGATACACTCTGGCAAAAAAAAAAAGGGGGGGGGGAGTTGGGGGGGGAGTTGGGGGGGGGGGGCCGGGTGGGTTCCAGCCGCTGGACTGCTTATGACACTCTACACTCTGATGTGATTAAGAGCGTAAATTCAACATCATTTAAATATATTATGTTCCTGGCACCGCGCTAAGTCTGCTCCTAAACTCCAATGTTTAAAAATAGAAGTAGATGGAGTGGATGCAGGAAGTCGTTAAAGCAAAGTTTCCAAATGGCCTGGGGAGACGTTACTCAGAACAGGTTAGGGCCTGACAGCTTTACAGTGAGTTAGGAACAGTACAGTAAAAAGAGTGAAGTCTCGCTATAAGGAAATCTGATTTCTTTATGGATATTTTATTTATAAAAGTTTCAGGATAGAGAAAAAATTTAGAATATATGCTCTTAATGAACACTTATGTAACTTCTTGCTTCCTGTACCGTGATTCCATAACAAATAATTCATTAGATCCTAAAGTGCATGTGTTTGCTCTGAGCCACTGGAGCTCACTGGCAGTATGGGACTCAGTGTACTGAGTGGTTTGTGGCTTTGGAATGAGTCTAGTTTAAAAATGAGTTAACTTGCTAGCTAGCTATAAAACCTCGGGGAAATTAAGTAGCCTAGACTTACCAAATCCCTAATTCACAAGATCATTATATGAAATACATAATCTGATGTGTCCCTCGCAGTAAAGCTAGCCCCCTTTCTTCCTTACCATTCTCTGATTTCCCCAGAAAGGAAGTCATTTGTGCCCTCCCCAGAGGGAGCCTCACAGTGCGGGTAAACTTGCTCAGGCTTTCTCTACGACTGCCCATCTTTCAAATGTAAACTCTTACTTTAATAATAAATAAAATCTTGAATGGAAAGAGCATATGCATTTTGTCTACAGTAACTCTGCATATAATAAATGATCAAAATGTTTTCTATGAGCTCTTTGGGCTCTCTGCAAGGATGTGATAAGCACATTTAAGACTAAAACACTCTTGAATGATTATGAAATGTACCTTATCAAGGGAATGTATTGGGCTTTCCAGAATGAATAATAATATTAAGTAATAATATTTTATGTTTGCTATTTTTAAAAGGAGTTAAATGACAAATGATACATGAAACTGGTAGATACAAAATAAAGACAGAGGGAAAAGTACCATCAGTCTATTTCTATCTAATAATAGATAATTCCTTTTTTTGTAGGTTTCAGTTTTCACTAACAAAAAGGAATGGTCTGTATTTTTCACTAACTAGCCATTCAACTTTGTACCAAATCAAATCTTTACTTCCTGTGTTAATAGACAGTGACATGGTAACATGGAATCCTTTATAGAATGTCCCTTTGGTGTTTGAAATTGGATGGTATTGATATTATATATCTTGATTATGAGTGTGCTATGAGAAGGGATATAAGAAAGTATCAGGGAACCTCCTGATATGACTAGGACATCCTCTATATATTAAAATTCTTCTTGCAAGCCATAACCGGTTTGGCTCAGTGGATGGAGTGTCAGCCTGCAGACTGAAGGGTCCCAGGTTCGATTCTGGTCAAGGGCATGTACCTTAGTTGCGGGCACATCCCCAGTAGGGGATGTGCAAGAGGCAGCTGATTGATGACTCTCTCTCATAGATGTTCTTAACTCTCTATCTCTCTCCCTTCCTCTCTGTAAAAAAATCAATAAAATATATATTTTTAAAAATTCTTCTTGCAAGTTAGAAACACAATTTAGCATTCAGTGAGAAGGGGTGATTGAGATAACTAAACTTCATGAAATTTTATTACTTAATTACATTAAACCAAGTAAAAGTACATTATAAAATAGAGTATTTCCAAAATTATTTTAACCATTACAAAACCTTCTGAATATTGCAACTGTCTTGGTCTTTAATTAACTGAAATAACTAATATTGATTATTTGTTAATCATCTAAAAATTGCCTAAAGGGTCTAACTCTATCTGGTTCACTCTGGCTTAAAAATTAAGAAATACTCTCCAGGAGTCTGTTTCATTCATATTCATCATCAGTATTTTAGACGTATTGTTTCAGGTTCAAAGAAAATGTCAAGTGTAGGAATTAGAATAAGAGAAGTCTAATATTTTTTATGAAAGAATATGCAATAAACTTCTGATTTCTTTGAATCATTAACTTTTCTAACTAGACATAAAAATTTTACTACAGCACTTATGACAGTCTGATGCTTTATAAAGCAGGACATATTTTTATTTCTTCAATCATAAACATATGGACTCTCTGTCCATCCCTTTTTCCATCAAATAGATTTGTCAACAGCTTAAATGTTTTGAGTATGGTTGATAATCTCAGAGGAGAAGAGGGAGACAGTAGATGCTGTTTTTAAATATGGCATTTTATTAAATATCTAATTCCAATAGCAATCATGTTTAAAATGCCACTAAAGCAAAATAGAAAGTTGACTAATTCATCACTATACTGTCTACTGGATTTGATAATAATAGAATTAACCAGCTGTTTGCTTCCTTTTTCTAAACCATTAATAATTCCTCTTCAAAAAAATTCTGGGCAGCTCTACAAACAGCATTTAAAGTAGCATAAAATCAAAAGTTATCAACCAGAGCCCAGGAAGCCTTCTCCACGTAATGTAAACAGGCAAAATCCGCATTAAGATTAGCTTGCTTTGTTCACCGCCGATTGTAAAGATGCATAAAACCTGTAGTCCCCGGAGGGTCAGAAAGTGAAGCCAAATCCATAGAAGCTGCTTTTAAAGTGTTTAACAAAGCAGAAACTGGAACGGATGTGCCACAAACCAATATCCATTACCGCAAAGCGACTGCTAAATGTTCTTGTAAAATAGCTCTCAGCTGGCCTATTCAGCACCATCCCATTATAGCTAAGAAGAGCATCCAACTTGTGATTGTTACCATGAAAATAGCCGGCCGCGCAATATACAGTAGCTGCAGACAAGAAAACTATATGCTTCAAGAACCTGGCAGATGTAAATCTCTATCAGTTCCTCTAAAGCCCTAAAAAAAAATATCTCCTTAAAAAGTATTGTATCCCAGACATTCAGTGACTTACTTATTAATATTCTATATATTTCTCATTACCCCATAAAGACAATTAAAATTGCTTTCAGAAATAATAATGCCATTTGAGAGAGGATTTCCATGGTCACGTGGTTGAGTAGTGGAAGGGGGAAGTCACCAGAGCCGACCAGGTTGGCAGCTACATGTTCTCTGCAGCTCCCCTTTCTCTTCAGCTCATTGTGAAATGTGCAAGTCTGCTCTGGGGAAGAGACTTTGGGTTATTTTGTTGGTCAAAGGAAGGGGCAGATGACACTCCCCAGCCCCTTCCATTGGCCAGTGAACGGTTTGGGTCAGGGGAATAGTCCAGTTCTGGGGGGAAATCTCATGGAGGGAGCCTTTCCTGTTAAACCAAAACTCAAATCTTTGGGAGGAGAAAGCCTTTGCCATGCTTCTCTTACTGCCTGGACCAAAGGTGCCATGCTCGAGGGTGTAAGCAGCCATCTTGTGACCATGAGGCACGAGAGTGTGACTGATAAAAGCAAACATTCTAAAAATATAGAAAGATGTAAAAAGATGTACACTAACTATTTAAAGGTGTCCCTGAACAATTGATCGCATGTTGACTGATATTTCTGATCTTCTGTACCTGTGCAATCCCTAGGACATCTGAGAAAGCTTCTCTCCAGATATGCCAACATTCATAAAGTTATGTACAGATCTAGCCAAGAGCATACACTATACTACTTGTTTAGCAAGGAAATAAATAAATAAAAAGGAGGATAAAAGATCTAGAAGAGGACAAATGTAACAATGCAAAGCCTTTCTAGGCAGGCTGTCATCCTAATTGTCTGTCTAGTACAAGTTCATCGTACATAGGCAAAAATAGGAGGTTTGTGGAAGTCTCCACTTTCCCCACCAGAGCTGAGTGATCTGTTCCTGAGAGGGCTGCCTTGGAATTTTTTTATCACAATAATGTCCATTCGGTTAAGCTCCTCAGTATCTATTTTCCTACTGATGCTTGGCTCCTGGGTCTGATGTGGTTTGGAATGCTGAGTAATTTACATGTAGATGAACTGAAGCCATTAGGACTCTGTGTCCAGATAATAAACAGCAGGCAATTTATTTCTGGTGCTTTATTTGAAAAAAAAAAAAAAAAAGAAAGAAAAGGAAAGGAAAGGGGAAAAAAAAGGCACTATATAAAGCTTCACTGTTTGAGTGGAAAACATGGGAAAAGTTCTTCTTTCTTCCCTTTCTTCCATTTAAAGACTACTGCACAATGAATATCATTTTTGATAAAAGGACCAACTATGTTCCAGTATTAAACATGCGAAAAAATTCTGGCCTTCAAGCACATGCGCAAGTTTATTTCTAGGCAGGCAAATACCACTAATTAAACGAATGGAAATTACAGCCTCAACTAACCCTTATTTCAACTCCACTGTGCTGTGTCTTACATGGATTTCTCATTGAATCCTTACAACATTCTTACAACTGCTATGAAGCCAGTGGCCTTATTTTCCCCACCTGACAAAGGGAACTCACACACACACAGAGATTAAGGAGCATGCCCCAAGACACACAGCAAGTAAGTGGGGCAGCAGGAATCTGAACCCAGGGCCATGACTACAGAACCTTCCATACTCACATAAATACAGGGATCGTTGTTACCAGCATCACTTCCTTCTTCTTTAGAGCTTTCAAGCTTTAAAATCTGCTGGTATTTTAAGCATCTCTGCACCCTGACTGATTATGCAGAGCTCTCACTCACCTTGGAAGCGGTGATGACTAAAATTGCAACGTATGAGGAACTTCAGAACTGTGAGAAAGGGCACTAATATGTTGGTAAAACAAACGTAGTGTTTTTAATTCAAGGGAATGCATTTTTAGGGGGTGGCTCTGTGTGAAGATTGGAAAGTAGAGCGCCAACCTGCAAGTATGTCAAACTCCTCATTTAAGCTATTGGACCAGAGCTGCCTCTGCTCAGGGAAGCATATTTCTTCACACATTCTCCGCACAAGTCAACATGAGCATTTTACGAAGAAAGGATGCCGTTATGCCAACTCATAGAATCTAAACAAAAAGACAATTCAGGATATGTATAATTGGAGTCATTTCTCCATTGGATAAGTAAAATGAGCATTTTTAAATATTTTATTTCTAAATATGCATCAAACTTAAAAGTTTCTTCTATATGTTGACTCACTGGAACACCATTATGTATGGCTACACTTGAAGCATTAGCCAACGGACTACTGAATTCCATAATTTTGTATTTTAGTCAATCTTTCTCTCTTACTCAAGGACAAGACCATTAAAAAAAAGGGGGGGGGGTTTAGTTACTTAATTCTTCTAATTGACATTATTTGGAGAATTATTAAATAAAAATATCATAGGAAATGCCTTCTAATTTGTGCTTATCTCATGGCTTAGAAAGCCAAGTCTATCATATTCATATTCTTTATCTCATTTTTAACAAAGTGCATCCTTTGGAGACTCAAAAATATTCTGTATTTCTTCATTCCTAGGTGAAGGTCAGCTAACTCTGAAAACCTAATACATCTCAGGATCTGTGCCAGTCACATTTCATATTGTCTCATTGTCTTTATATATACATCAACTTAAAGGTGAGCAACTGGGGCTCAAGGAAATGAAAAATTATATATGCAGTGAGCGGCAGACCCAATTAAAATTCAGCTTTACATGACTCTACAGAACAAGTTTCTTATGTCTCTTACAACACTGATAATACATAACTATTTATCATTTGTCTTTTAGATGTAGCATTAAAGATACTGCCACATACAAATAGATGCATATCCTATATAATAAAGCCTAATATGCAAATTGATTGAACAGCAGAATGACAAGTGGAATGACCAGTGGCTATGACATGCACTGACCACCAGGGGGGCAGACACTCAATGCAGGAGCTGTCCCCAGCCCGCAGGCCCCAGGCCAGCCAAGGCAGGTGCCAGCGGGGGTGGGTGAGGGGAGACCCAATCACCCACTGGTTACCCACAGATCTGGCCTTACCCATGCACGAATTTCATGCACTGGGCCTCTAGTGCATATATAAAGATAGACACACACATATATTTCATTGTGTAACTGAATATATGTATGTCAATGTGTATAACTTTATATATACAGTGTGTACCTACATGCATACATATACTAGTACATATAAAGACATACATACAAGTGAATGCATATATACAGACACCTGTACACATATGAATGAACATGAATGTAAATTAAGCTGGTTAAATATCATCTAGTGTTATAAATACATTTAATTGAATACTATTCACTTCCTCACATTCAACTCGAAATTTATAAAACATAACTATTGAGTTTTAATGTCACAAGAAGTTACTGAACTTCACCTAATTTCTTTTTTAAAAAGAAAAAATTATGAGTTTAAATTGTAAAGAATAAATAAATACATGTAGCAATTGTGTACTATAAACAAGTCATAAGATATTTTAATTTGATTTTTTTAAAGCATTTTTTACTTCACTAGAAGAAATGCCATGATTAATTTAAACAGAAAACAAACTCTCAGGTTAATAAGATACTTGTCATGTCACTTGATTAATAATGTTACAACAATGTCAGCTGCATTGTTATCATAATATTGTTGTCACAAGGCCAACTGATTAATATTTATTCCAAGCTCTACATCATAAAAATAAAAAACCCAAAGCAACAATAAAAAATTATTTTACTTGGACTTTACTAGGATTAGTATCTCTGATTTAGGCCCATTCGTGCATGTTAGGCAAGTTTACAAAAGCAGATACCTTTGCAAAGGTGGATTTCATCTACAATAGGACACTATGGGCAGAATCGACTAAATCCCTAAAACACAGACAGATGGCAAAGTGTAAATTAAAGTTTAGCACATTGCAGGAAATTCACTTACTTTCAGTAATTGGTAGAGTATAAATAACCTGATTTAAATGTGTAAAATAATCCAGTCACTGCCAGATCCCCCTCACCCCCACTCCTGCCACCCACTTAGAATGGAAAACTCATACTGTTATTCCATAGCTGAAATCCCCTAAAAAATTAACAACAGGGCTTTAAAAAGTGGCAAAAATAGTCTGGACTCTATTTTATCTGCCTCCTCTTCCACTGCTCAAGTTCTGATAGGCTAATGAGCAGTGAAAGGGCCAGAAGAAGAATATTCTAGTTTAATAAATGCTGATGCAATCGAGACACTGGGTATTCAAGCCCTGAATGATGAAGTACGTGCTATAATTGTATTCGAATGTACATGTAACATCTGCTCCAATCTCCATAAAAACATTGATGGTTCACAATGCTGACAACATACAGAATCAAACCCCATTATTGAGCTAGTGTATTTTTTTAAAAGGATGTGGAATCTAATGGTAAGCAAGTCCATGATTGTGATTTCACTGCTCTGCCTATACCCAGTAATTCAATGGGTTTAAATAAATAAGTAAATAATGTGTTTACAAAAATTATCTCTTTTAATTCTCAAAACCACCACCACCAAACTATGATGAGTGATATCCATTTTAGAGATGAGGAGCTATGGCTCCAGAGGTGAATGAATTTCTCAAGGTTAAATCCCCCAGTGCTGGCCTGAGTAGTGATACGGGAAGATGAAGAAAAAAGGGACCAGCTCCAATAACTTATGTTAAAGCCCTTAGGCTTCTGTAAATAAAAGCATCCCTCATGTAGTCCTTCCTCCCATGGTCAAGGTGAAAACTGTTACTCTCTCTTCCTCAAGGTCATAAAGACTCCTCCCAATGCCATTTTGTTATTTTCGTTTTCAAGATTGCCTTGATATTGTTGGGGTATATGACAAAACAACAAAAAGGAAAGGAAGAGAATGAAATAAAAGTTACAGACTGAAAGCTCTGAGAGAGGTCTCACATAGTTAACACACAATTACTATTTTAAGCCATCACGAAAATAAAACTTGATACAACATTTTCATGCAGTTTCGAAGCTAAGGAATCAATGCTCTGTCTTCTGCAGAGAAAGTTATTGGGAGGAAAGAAGTATCAATCTAATCTACCCTTAAAATCTTTAAAACATATGTGTGCCATGTAAAGAAACCTGGAACAATCTTAAGCCTTAGAAACAGATGCAAAACAGCTTTAATGTTTTCCAAATGTTATTTTACCCATCGTGTTAGATTAAGGTAGCACTGATTAAGAGAAGAGTTGTGATCCCAGAATATTTGTGAATACTATATTTCATTACATAATTAATATGTATAGTATGTTTACTTCCACCACCAAGTAAGACTTAAAGTTTTAGTTCATTAAATGACAATAAGTATATTACATTGTACCTTTATTTTGATTAATATATTTTATTATGTCTATGATTTATAGATGTTGAGATTTTATCCCCCCAAAAAATGTCTAAACTATCAAATTATTATCTTGCAAAATAATCCATCCAAACTAATCTACCCTATTTGTGAGTTCCAGGTTCACTGTTTTAACTATATATTTTTATTGATTTCAGAGAGGAAGGGAGAGGGAGAGAGAGATAGAAACATCAATGATGAGAGAGAATCTTTGATTGGCTGCCTCCTGCTTGCCCCACACTGAGGATGGAGTCTGCAACCTGAACGTGTGCCCTGACAGGAATCAAACCGTGACCTCCTGGTTCATAGGTCAACACTCAACCACTGAGCCACACCTTCTGGGCTCCGGGTACACTTTCAAGTAAAAGAGTAAATAAAGTGAATTATGTTAAAGAAGGGTGAAGTGAAAATACCACGGGCACTGGAATTACACAAACCTGGATAGGAATCCCGGTTTCCTGAATCGAACATTGTTTAATCTCTCTGGCCCTCAACTACCTCATGGGGAACCATAAGCCCTACCTTACAGAGCTGTAGGGAAGAAGAAATGGAGATATATATATATTTATTTACTTTTTTCCTAATATAAATTAGCACCCTCCACGCCCAATTATAAGCTGAAAACTAATGCATATCCAGGTTTATTTTAAATAACGAGTCACTAAAAGAAATATTTTTTAAATTCAATATACTTTGAATTAACTTATACATGTAGACTCATATAAATTAATAAGGTAACTAGATGCATGATTAAGAAAAAATTCTGGTTGTTTCTATA